ATAGTAAATTTGACATTGTGCTTCCTTACAAACAGGATACAAAGGGAAACATTGGTTTACACAGTTTTCCTTAACAATGATTGCAAATCCAATGTTAAAATAGATGAAGATACCTTTTCTAAGAAATGAAAGTACTTGGATTTTTTTGAGAGAGAAAATTTATCCTAGCACTACATTCTTTTTTTATTTTAATTTAAAAAATTTTATTATATATATATTTTTATTTTGGGCTGCGTTGGGTCTTCGTTGTTGCAGACTTTCTCTAGTTGCGGCAAACGGGGGCTACCCTTCGTTGAGGTGCACAGGCTTCTCATTGCAGTGGCTTCTCTTGCTGCGGAGCACGGGCTCTAGGTGCGCGGACTTCAGTAGTTGCAGCACACGGGCTCAGTAGTTGTGGCTCGTGGAGTTAGCTGCTCAGTGGCATGTGGGATCTTCCTGGACCAGGGCTCGAACCCGCGTCCCCCGCATTGGCAGGCAGATTCTTAACCACTGCGCCACCAGGGAAGTCCCTAGCACTAAATTCTAAAAGGAGTTTATGAAGCGGAACTCAACGTCTATAAGGCAGTACAACACAATGGTTGATGTCATTAATAACAGTTCCAGAAAAGGGCAAGCTGTGGTTGGAAACTACTCATTTGATGAGGACGTTATGCTAAGTGAAAGCCAGGCACAGAAAGAAAAAAACTGCATGATTTCACTTACATGTGGTACCTAAAAAAGTGGATTACAACACATAGAAGGTAGGTGTGGAAAGGTGGTTACCAGGGGCAAGGAGGCGGGGCTGGGGATGCGGGATGGGATGATGTTTGTCAAAGGGTACAAAGTCGCAGTTAAAGGATAAATAGATCTAGAGATCTAATGTGACAGCATGACGATACTGTGTTGAATACTGGAAATTTGGTGAAAGCAGGTATTAGGTGTTCTCATTATACACATAAAAAAGGTAACTGTGAGAAGGTATGTTAATTAGCTTGACTGTTACAATCGTTTCCTTACGTGTATGTCCATAAAATACTCATGTTGTCTACCTTAAATATATACTATTTACATTAAAAAAGAAAAGAATAAAAAAAAAAAGAAACTACACTTTTGAGTAATCCCTGGGTGCTATCTCCTGTGCAAAGAGTGGTGCCTACCTTATCACATTAATTCACAAACATATGGGTTGGGTGTTATCAGTCCCATTTACCAGAATAGAAGTATGGTTCTCAGTGAAGGTAAATAACACACTCAAATTACCTGACTGGTAAAGGGGCTGAGTCAGGGTTTAAACCCAGATCTCCCTGACTCTAAAATCAATGATCTTTCCACTGCACTCTGCAAATAAAAAATTCCTGATTCTTTTTATAGGCATAATATTAAAGATAACTTTAGTATAAACAGTTGTTCCACAAATTGGACAAGAGTTGAGAATGACCAAGTTAACAGCTTCAAAGATTTTTTAGGTTATTACTGCAGAGAGAGGAAAAGATGTACAGATTCAGGACATGAGCTAATTAAGTCCAACCAGCTATTTGGAAAACTAATTCCAAATGAAATAATACATAAATAATTCATCATATTACTGTATGCAACACTTCACCTTTCCTTAGCTGAGAGGGGTGGCTAAAGAAAAGTACCATCAGGTACCGTAACCACTACAGATCCTAGAGAAGGGAACAGGGAAGGAAGTTCTGCCGTGTAGTTTACAACACAATATCCCTGGTGGACAACAGGGAATGGCAGACAGAGGTAGGTGTGGCAACAGAGGTAGCTGTGGCTGGATCTGTGATTAAATAGGTCACTTTGTTTTAAAGAACCCAGGAAATGGAAGAAGTAGAAGGAAAGTGCTCATGTCTTTTTATTTTTTCTTTCTATTTAAAAAAATACCATCGTAGGGCTTCCCTGGTGGCGCAGTGGTTGAGAGTCCGCCTGCCAATGCAGGGGACGTGGGTTCGTGCCCCGGTCCGGGAAGATCCCACATGCCGCGGAGCAGCTGGGCCCGTGAGCCATGGCCACTGAGCCTGCGCGTCCGGGGCCTGTGCTCCGCAGCGGGAGAGGCCACAACAGTGAGAGGCCCGCGTAACTATCATAACTATAAAAAGTTCTGGTAATAACAATTATTGCAATAATAATAGGTGTTAAACTCTGAGCGCCTTCTATACATTTTAAGATGTTGGGGTCTGCTTTTCACATTTAATATAACCCTTGTACCTTGTTGATCTCTTCTATCTTCAGGTTGCTGTGGCATTATGAAAACTCTTGAAAACCATACTAACTCATTGGAAGTGAGATGTTTTGCTGAGTTTAGTCACTTTACAAAATCACATTAAACGAATACTCTTTGAGCCCCTTCCATGCACCAAGTCTTGGAGTGTGGTTCACGCAAATGTGAATAAAATGACCCCTCTAGCCTTCAAGGAGCTTGGCTATAGTAAAAGAGACAGAGATGTCAACAAATAAAACAAGATGGTGAAGGAAGGTCAATGAGGATCATTTTTTTTCTGGTCTAGTGATTTGGAATTACTCATTATACAGATGTTTTCTCTGAAATCATTCCTATTTAGAGAAGAGGTGGAGGGGAGTATTGAAGAGCATGAACTCTAGAACCAGGTTGCCCTGTGTCCAATTCTGCCTCTACAAACTTATTAGCTGAGTGACCATTTACTTCTCTGTGCCTCACCCTTTTCACTTACAAAATGGAAGTAGTAACAGTACTTACCTCAAAGCGTTGTTATAAGGATTAAACTAATTAAGACTGTAGTATATTTGGACAAACACCTGGCAGATACAGTAACTATTGCTCTCAACAACTGTTAGCTATATTTTCTTAGATATGAGTATTGTCAACCTAACTATGGCCATTCTAGGTGTGTTGTGTTGGTAAACATTCTCCTCAGAACCTTAGAGGGAGAACGACTGTCTCTGAGATGTCTGTCTAGTCAGGAGTCTTGCTGGGATTGTTCGAGGCCGCGAAATGTTTGCACCCATAGTGCTTTGGGTCAAAGTCATTCATTTTTGAGCACCAACTACATGCCAGGCATCGTTTTAGGAGTACTGTGGCTATATCACTGGAGAGAGCAGACAAAAATCCCTCCCTGCACAGAACTTACATTCTGGTGAGGAGAGTCAGATAATAGGCACAATAGAAAAATACATTTTATAATATGATAGAAGGTGATCATTCTGTCATTAAAAATAATAAAGAAAGCTCACTAGTATGTGGAACGCCTTTTAAATTTTAAGTAGAGTGGTCAGGATAGACCTGAGGAACATGGTGACGTTTGAGCAGTGTCTCAAAGGAAGTGAGAGAGTAAGCCATACTGGTACTTGGGGTGGGGGAGGAATTCCAGGCAGAGAGGACAGCTAGCACAAAGGCCCTGGGATGGAAGCATACTGTCTAGGACTCTAGTCCAGGAATATTGAGGAGGCCATTATGGCAGGAGCTAAGTGAGTGAAGTGAAAGAAGTAGGAGCTTAAATCAAAGAATGGCACATCATGTATTGTCCTTCCGGGCCATTCTATAGCCTTTGGCTTTAGCCCTGATTGAGATGGGGACCACTGCAGGGTCTTGAGCAGAGGAGTGATAGGAGTTGTCTCAATGTTTAAAAACGATCGCTCTGGCAGTGTGTTGAGAACTTCCTTCATGGGGACAAAATTAGAAACAGGGCAAGGATAAAGTCAAGATGTGATGGTAAATTAGGGTGTTAATTAACAGTGGAGGTGGTTAAGTAGTTGAATTTTGGATTTATTTTAAAAGTAGAGCTGAAAAAATTTTTTCTGATGGATTGGATTTGAAATGTGAGAGAAACAGAAAAGTCAAGGATGACACCAAGCTTTTTGGCCTGATATGAGGAAAACTTCATTTGGGACAGGGTGGTTGGGAGACAGAAGGAGGAATTTCAGGATTTCAGTGTCAGAAATGTTATGTGGGAGTAGCCTAGTAGGCATCTAACTGGGCAATAGCCTGGAGCCTGCAGTTCAAGAAGAGATGGTCAGGCTGGAGTTAAAATTTGGGAGTCATTACCACATATGTGATCTTTAGTGTCGTGAGATCACCAAGGGTGTGAGTGTAGATAGACAAGAGATCCAAAGTCCGAACTCTGGGGACTCTACTGCTCAGACACTGGGAGAAGAGAAGGGACCAGCAAGCAATCTTCTTCCCAAAGAAGACTAAGAAGGAGCAAGCAATGGAGTAGGAAAAAAAAAAACATGAAAAAGTTGTGGAAGTCCAAATAAAAGTTTTCCAGGAGGAAAAATGTTCCACCATTGATTTCTGCTCATAGTTCGAGTGAGATGAGCCCTGAGAAAATTGTCCAGTTTAGGAGTTTGACCTTGACAGGAGGAGTTCTAGGGGACAGAGCAGAAGCAAAAGCCCAATTGGAATAAATGGGTAGAGAAAACTTGGAGACAGCTTTTCTTAATAAGTCTAAAGGAGTTTTGCTGCGGCTGAGCAGAAAAAAAGGAGCAAGTGGCTGGAGGGGGAAGTGGATTCAAGAGAGAGTTTTTTAAGATGGGAGAAATAACATGATTTTATGGTGATGGGATGATCCAATCGGGGAAACTGCTGGAGCAGTTAAGTGTTGGATTGATTCCTGTATGTTTCTGTGGGGAAAAGAGCCAAGACAGGGGAAACTAATTCCTGTAAAACACCAAGCAGTTCATAGGTGAGCCTTTCCTATAAATTAGAAGTCAGACTTTTACTTGCACAAATGAAAAGTGCATTATAAAATAAGCTATTTGTTGAGTGCCTACTGAGTGCCACTCGTGGTGTCAGGGACTTTGTATACATTATCCGGAAGCTTATTAACCATCCTGAACATCAGCTATCTCTGTCACTACACTGTTAATGACACTGTTGCTAGGAGCTAAAACGACTTGGCCAACCAAAGCCATAGTGATCATAAATTAGTCTGCACTTTATTGCGCTCTTTCTTGCTGTTGTGAGTTGCGCGAGGGCCGACGACCTGCCTCTTTGTAAGCCCAGAGATTCACCCAGAACTTGGAAGAGGTTCACTCACACTCATTCGTGCGGAGATCGACTGAGGCCGCCCTGGGTCCATTTGGTCCCTTTCCGTGGAGACACCCGCCGTTCACATCAGCATTGTTTTCATTGGTTGCAGCAACGAGAAAAACGCGTTGGAAAATATAGAAACTTTCAAGAGAAGTAACTGAAAGGAAATCAGTACAAGTTAGTTTAAAATCCTCCGCTGAGGCCGTTCCCCAACCATTTTGCAAAACTGCTTTTCTGACGCATCAGGTACCTGCCCGCGGGCGAACTGTCGGGAGGAGGTGAGGTCACCTGGAGTTTCCCGGTAGAAACCTCACCGTCGGGCGAGGAAATCGTCGCTCGAGGACGTGTACCCACCCGCCCTCTTCCAGCTCATTAGGAAAGCCTGCCACAAGGTTTCTACCACGCGGCTGTAAACGCGGCTCCGAGAAGCTGGCGCCCCGTGATGGGGAGACCAGCCAGACCCCTGCGGCAGCAGTAAAAGCCCCAACTGCAAACTGCCTGGCACCTTCACCGACTTCACTGCTCCGAGTCCCTCGGTGCCCGCCGCGGTGGTTACGAAGGGGGCCGGGGCACAGGACCGAGCCGCGCGGAGCCCACCACCGCGGCCCGAGGGGGACCGCACCCGTCGGCTGGGTGCCCGCAGCGCGCCTTCCCTCCCTCGCCCTGGGGACCCGGCCGCGCCGACGCGCCAGGTGAGGAGGAGGCGGCGGCCGGCGGGGTAGAAGGGGCTGCGCAGGCTCCGCGCGTCCGGGCCGCATCCCCCGGGCGCTGTCTCCCCCGCCGCCGAGTTGGTCGCCGCCCGTTTGCGCGGCCGAGGGTTGTGGGCGGAGAGGAGGCAGTGGCCGCCGGGGCCGGGAGGGGCGCGCTGGCTGCGCACAGCGCGTGCTGAGTGGCCGGGCGGCTGCCGCTGGAGCTGCGGCGGGGCCGGGGGTCCGGGGCTGGAGGGAGGGTGGGAGGGAGGCGGGGCGAGGGCCAGGCGAGGGCCGCTGGAGCCGGCGGAGAGCGGCGGCGCGGAGAGAAGATGAGACGGTGAGTGGCTGCCGGGGACGCAGAGTTTCTTGCTTCTCTTGTGGGCTGCAGGGACAAAAGCTCGGGCTGGGGTTAGCAGAGCCCGGACTGAGCAGCCTCTGGGGCCCCGAACCCCAAGAATGGGTGGACCTCGGTTGAGAGGATCCTGGGGAGGGAGTGGCGGGGTGGAAGAGCAGCTCACAGAACTGTTGTAGGAAACGGGCGGGATTTGGGGGAGCCTGAGGCAACTTTTGCCGAGAAGACTGGAATACCCAAGGAGAGAGGGATCGGGATCTTGGGGCTAGAGCTGCTTTGTCGCCGTGGGCGGAGGAAAGAGTCCGCTGCTGGATGGTATGGGCGCGGAATTCAGAAAAGACCCCCTCCCCCAAATATCTAGCTAGCTGCCCTCCTGGCTCACTTTGTTTCAAGAGTGGGGCTCACTAGTTTGAACCGCCCAGAGACTCAAATTCCCATTTGGCCTTGGGTGCCCCCCAAAATTTATGGTTGGGGCGGTCTCCGCACCCCTAGAGATAGCGGCTGGAAGTAGAGAATGTTTTGAACCCCTGTTTCACCCGCGCCTGGCACGGCCGAGGCGCAGCTTGAAATGTTTGCTGGTACATTGAATAACTTAGTTCTAGCAGTCATCACTTATTAAAGCGCCGAGGACCTGGCTAACTCCCGCCACCGCCAGGAAATTAAAAGGCTGACAGGCTGTCGCTTCCAGACTTGGGGTTTCCTGTTTGAAAGAGCTTCTGAAGTCGAACCTGCTACCCATCTACCTTTCTCATGTAAAAGCGGGAACTGTGCCCTCAGCCTTTTATGTCGGTAGACTTTCCCGGGACTGGAAATCCTCTCGCCCGGCCCTGCCCTCATCCCTAGAAGTCTTCCTTCTGCTGCTCTAAAGAAGCTCTCAACAATTCTAGAATGCACAGCTAGTCACAGCCAGACGCAGCTGGGAGTGGAACTAGAAGAAGAGGCATAAAAATGTGGCGTACTTTTAGTGTAAATATGTCAGCCACATTTCCCTTCATTGTATGAATGTATTAATTACAGATATTTATTATCAAGTATTGGACGCGTAACTTTAAGCTTCCTAGTTTGGCTTAATTTAGGCGTTTGAGATATGTCTCCGAGATTCTAACATCTGAATTCAGCTGGGAGAGGTCTAAATGAAGTTCACAGTTTCAGAGTGTTAGTTAAACTTTTGCCCTGAGAGCTCTTGAATTCTTGGTTCCTGGTAGGATAGCAACAGAGTAGTTGGATTTGGGATAAATAAACCTTTAGAGCTGCCCACTATTTTAACAGAATGGCTACATCCCCGGTACCATTGCCCTCAATTGTGTAAATATTTGTTTGAATAAAGAGCTAAGGTTCTTTGAAAAGTAACAGTTGTGTCTATTCATGATTCCCTTTTCATATCCTGGGCTTAAGTTATTTAAAAGGTTTTGTGTTTTATTTTATTGTTTTCGTTTTACATATTTAATGTGGAAATTTAAACATTATATGTACTTGAGAAACTCTGTAAAGTCCCCAAAACGTTTATAACTGGGGTTTCCTTTAAAAGTGAGGGGGAATAGAGCTTTTGCTCTTAGTTGACTAGCGTAGCCTTCACCTCTTGAGACCCAGAGGTTTGCAAATCCCAGCCTTTTTCACAAATGAAAAAATGAGATGTTGGGCTAGGAGTAGCCATCATTTCAATTTGCAGGCTTCAGTCTCTTTCATGCAACTGGCAGACGCTGTTCTTTTGGGCTGAGGACTGACTTTAGGGGGTGTCTCCTGGATCCCCATTTGAAGTGAGGGAGGAAAAGATAGCTGGGAAATTCTCCTAAGAGCTTGCTACCTCCTATCTTAAAGAACACCAGACGAAAGCTGGAACTCTTTAGCAACCTTTTCAGAAACATTTTATTTACTGGCTTTTGCACAAGAGAGGGAAGAAAAAACTGAAATGATTAAACCCACCACTGGAGTTTGCTGTTTTCCTCAAAGCCCTCTTTTGAGGTCTGTACTGTAATGCAGGGGTTGATTCTGGAGTGCACCAGAGGACTTGCTGTGAAAAACGTGATTGCTTTTAAATACTTTTAAAGAGCAGTTGAGGTTATGACTCTGTATGCTAATTCTCAACCCTTAGCAGAAAGGCGGTTGGCTCTATGAATAACTTGGAAAGACAGTGGTTTTGTACATCTTCCAAGTGGAATACATGTGCTTTATAAATCTGACTGTTAGATCTTGATGTACTTTACTTATTAACTGTGGAAATGTCATCTATTTGAAACAAAAACAACTTTTAAGTGATGTGCTTTATTATAAAGCCCTGGTATACACAGCAGCTGTGGTTCTGAATGGAGGCGGGTGGAGTGGGGGTAACTTGCTCCCCAGTGGTTATTGGCCAGTGTCTGCAAACATTTTTGGTTGTCCCAACTCGGGGCAGGGGACAACCCCAGTTGCCAACTGGGGCTGGCCTCTAGTGGGTAGAGGCCTCAGATGATGCTGTGTAATATCCTATAATGCACAGGACACACAAACGATGAATATCTAGCCCCAAACTCTTCACTAGGGTATTACCTTGAGGGCATATGTTAACAAGTTAGGGATCTTAATCTAATTTGGATCTTCTAGAAACTGGCTGTATTTTTGCTCAACACAGAGAGACCTTTTTGTCTGCAGCAGATTCTTTTGTCCTTGGCATTAAGAGTCTTAATATACCATAGATGTGAAGGAACTTGTGTTCACTGACTTTGAGTTGGCTTAAAATTACAGAATTTTGGAGTGCTACAGTGCAAGGGAGCCTCAGAGATCACTGAGCTCAACTTTTTTGTTTTATAGACACAAAAACTGAGATGCCCAGAGATAGTGACTGGTAAAGTCTCAAGTGTGTTAGTGACAGATGTTAGTTTTAGATAAAACCCAGGATTAGAGAATTTAGAAACTGATATTCAGGCATATGTAAGTTTTTAAAAAATGGACCTGACCCTTTGTGAGAATTTAGAGGTCACATTCTCTGTGAGGAAATAAATAAACTCTTTGATGGGGGAAGGGTAGCATTAGCCATGGTGACTGTGGAGCATATGCCTGGGTGTGTCAGCCCCAAGAAGAACATAATTCTATTGTGCGACCTGTGACACTCCACGTCTGATGCCTGCACCATCCTTCCCATGGCAAAGTGGGCAACAGATGGTTCCACATTCATAGCAGATGCTATGGTACAAAACAGAACATTTGAGATTTTTTGTTCCTCCCTGCCTTATGGGTTAAGAGTAGAGGGCATGAATGGATAGGGTTGTCTTGGAGAGAAGAGAGGATGAGAGAGGCCTCCTGAATACAGAGTTTAAAAAGACATCTGGCATATAAGGAAATGAGCATGCTTTCGGGCAGTTGTGAGGGATATTCATAAGCTGATGAGTGGATATGTAAGATAAATGTGATATTTGCATAGAACTTGGGTTAGGAATCTGAAGACATTTCAAGCTTGGCACTTCTTTGGGGGAATAGGGCAAAATAATAATGGGGGTAAAAGGAATCTCAGAAATCCTCTTATCTGAATCTGCTCACTTGGCTAGTGAGAACCTCCTAACTCCTGTTTCATTGTACTTTCTTGTACAACCCCCAGTCTGTATCTTTCCATCTGTTTACTTAGTGGGGAAGAAAATGATAGTAATATAAAGTTTTTGTTCATTTTCTGGGAGAGTGTAAAAAGCATGTATTTGTGAATAGCTCTGCTTATAGAAAGGAGTTATCTCAAAGAGTTTTTGACGATCAGAAAAGTTGTGCACATATGGCTGCTCTCACATTTTACATTACTACGATTACCCATTAGTCCTGTGATTATGGATTTTAGTTGTGTGCTAAGTGGTCCTGCCATGGTAGTTATAATCCTCAAATCTGGGAGGTTCTGGAAATATAGGAGAATTTTTTAGTGTGCCTTTCTTGGAAGAGCTCCGAACCTCGCTGTGGTAGGTTCTTATCATTTTGGCAACTAGCCAATGGGTGTACCTCAAAGCCGAGTACATAGTAGTATATTTAGAAATGATTCAGAAGTGATGACTTTTTAAAGAGGGCTGCTCTCTGCAGGTGCTGCAGTAAAGGGGTATAGCACCCTTTTCAT